ACAGCTTGTGTCCATAAACACATAAATAAATTAAAAAACCTGCAAGTAAATCTCTGAAATCTGCAGGAATAATCTGTTTAAAAACACAAACTCATTCTTGACAGCAGACTCCAATATCAGAGGTCAAAGGTCAGAAAAGACTTCTGAGGACAACGCAGGTTATTTATGAGGTTTTTATTTACTGATATCAGTTTTACTATAAAAACATGGTTTGAATGTTTTATTAGAACTTCTTTAAAAACAGAAAGTGTTTTTTATTAATCTACCTGAATGTTGTTCAGACACGTCTGACTCAGTCTGTCAGCAGAACCAGAACCAGTGTGTTTCTGATAAAACATGTTGATTAGAAATAAACTCACTCAACTTTAAAATGCTGACATCAGCTGTATTTTTAACAAAACCACCTTCATGTTGCTGGTTTCTTTTCCTCAGTTTGGGTTAGGTTGGTGATTTAAGTTTGGATGTCTGAAGAYGAAAAACAGAAACTAAATATGAACTCACACGCTATTCACACGTTCACAAGTTTTTTACTTTTAGTTCCTTTAGAGCACAGAGAATTTGTCCCACTGAAACTTTAGCTCTCACACAAACATGTAAAATAATGTCCTGATACCAGRATGAATCTGAAGCGTTTGGGTCAATATTTGCTCGTGTTCAGCTGAATGCTTCAGAGCTCATTGTTTGGAGCTTCACACAGCAGATGGAGCATGATGCTCTGCATCCTGCTAAAGCAAACAAAGAGTTTTAAAAGGCAAAGAAGTGGAATGTCACACGATGGGCAAGTCAGTCGCCTGACCTGAATCTGATTGAGCACTTCGCTTCCTGAAGACAGAACTGAGGGGAAAACGAAGCAGGAAGTGAAACAGCAGAGGCCTGAACGAAGCAGGAAGTGAAACAGCAGAGACCTGAACGAAGCAGGAAGTGAAACAGCAGAGGCCTGAACGAAGCAGGAAGTGAAACAGCAGAGGCCTGAACGAAGCAGGAAGTGAAACAGCAGAGGCCTGAACGAAGCAGGAAGTGAAACAGCAGAGGCCTGAACGAAGCAGGAAGTGAAACAGCAGAGGCCTGAACGAAGCAGGAAGTGAAACAGCAAACCTGAATGAAACAGGAAGTGAAACAGCAGAGGCCTGAACAAAGCAGGAAGTGAAACAGCAAAGGCCTGAACGAAACAGGAAGTGAAACTGCAGAGGCCCGAACGAAGCAGGAAGTGAAACAGCAGAGGCCTGAACGAAACAGGAGGTGAAACTGCAGAGGCCTGACAGAGCATCACCAGGGAGGAAACCCTGCATCTGCAAACAATCTGCAACCAAATATCAAACAGTGAGTTTGACTTATGATTGTTCATTTGTCCCATTCTGTTTGGTCCCTTTGAAAAGTGTGAGGCACAAATACAAACTGTTGTAATTTGTACACCTTTCACCTGATCTGGATGTTAAAAACCTTCAAATTAAAGCTGAATGTCAGCAGTTAAAGCACATAGAGCTGTCGACCCCCTTATTTATGGACCTGACTGTAGATGGTTAAATAAATTAAACGTAAATTGCTGAGATTCACAGCAGCATGTGTTAATCCTACATGTTACTGAATATATTAATGTTAAAATCAAACCAGCACACATGCAGTTAACACTGTTCATCTGTCAATAAATATAACAGTTTAATCTTGTGAACAAAAAGTCWAAGCATTTTAAATAAAGAAAACTTTTTATTCCTTTACTTCCAGGCTGCTCTTGTGTTTTTAGTTTCAGGCTTTTTAACCCGTTTCTCTGTCTGACTCACAGTATTTTCTCCTTTTCTTACAGCTTTTGAGGTAGCAGGTTGTTTCTTCACATTATTTTTCTTCATGTTTTCATGTACTCTACAGTTATTACATGAGCACTGTGGGACTGGAGATGAAGAGGAAGCATCAAATGTCTTCACAGAATAACCAACATCTCTGACTGAAGTCTTTTCTCTCTGTTTAGTATTTTTTTCTTGTGTTGAAGCTGCTGCAGCCTCCGTCTGATTCCTAAACACTTTCAAATCTTGTAGAAAAGTCTGTCTGTAGGAATTTGTCCTGAGACGTCCATCAGAGGTCTTCAGATGTTCCTGCTGCTGTCCTTCAGCTTCAGAGTCTGTTTGTTTTATTCCTCTTCTCAGAGAGTCTCTATGTTTCCTCTCCATCACATCACCAGAGATTAGATCCCCGTTTAAGAGCTTATAATCCCCTCCTCTGCAGCTTTCATGCTTCAGATGATCAGAAGGGAGAAAGTCTCTGAGCTCTGATTCGTCCCATCTGTCCTCAGTCGGGACGTCTGAATGTCCTCGTTGAGACCTCAGGTGTCTTCCATCAGTCTGACTTGTTTGTTTGTCCACTTTGAACAGAAATAGAGACAATTATAAATTAAWAAAAACTATATCAAACAATAAAACAAGACGTTTTGCTGACTTTCATCAATAAATTCTACAATTTAAACTACATATATCAACCCTCTGCTGTCAGACCAGAGGGCTATAAGTTTTTCTGATTTAAACTTTATTTCATGTGCAGCACACAAATAAATTGGTAAAATTTGTTTTTGAAGGTTCTAAAAAATTTGTTGTAATTCTCTTTAATAGCCAGCAGGGGGCTCCACTTCATATGATTAATCAGCTCTGATTTAATTTTTTTTTTAACCCAAACTGTAATATATATTATATCCAGGTCTACTTTAACACTGTGAATACATTATTAATACCAACCCTAAACAGAATAAAAGAGGAGCTCATTAAATGGGATAAACATTAAAATGGAAACTATTTTAGGAATAATTTTGTCCTCCTTATATCCTGTTTGAGCAAATATCATGCTTGCCTTTTACTAATGTGGAAAATATTTTCCTTGTTTAATCTAGATTTGTAAAAAATAAAATGAAATAAAATAATTAAAAAGTAAATGTAGTTTTCTGCATTTTTCCCATCACATGTGAGCACACACGTGGAGCAGCAGGCTGCCATATAAGGAGCCCAGGGAGCAGAGGACCTTGCTCAAGGGCCCAGAGTGGGGCACACGAGGGTTACCMCTCCCAACCACAGGCTCACCTTCTCYAACACTGCTGCATGACTCCCAAATKTATTTTTGTACAGGAATTGCAATAGGAAAGTCACGAAGGACAGATACTGTATGTGGATGCAGTTAGAGGACATGGAGAAGGACGTGAGGACAGAGAGAGACGGACAAGGAAGACTCAATGGAGACCCCTGAAGAGGGAACAGCTGACAGAAGTAGGATATAATATGCAACAGGAGAGTCTGGAAACTTTGGTTTGTTTTTATCTATTCTTATCCAGACCTGGAAAATACTAAAACCAAATTCCACATTTGTCCCTTAATTTCAAGAAACCAAAGAAAATAAACCAATCTGATTAATTATAATCAAGCAAATGTTCATTTAAAGCTGTAATTTATAACACTAATTATTTAAAAAATAACTCATTAGCTTGTTCTGACCAGACCATAAAACTGATTTACTTTACTGTGAATTTGAAACTGAAAATAAAACGTATTATAATAAACAGCTTCAGGAGTTAAATGTACCTTTTCTGTACATCAGAAGATAAGCCGTCTCAGACCTGTTTGTTGGAGGAAGAACACACAGGGAGACATTAGGTCATCATCAGCCGAATCACTGCAGACAACAATAGATCCATCCTCACTGACCTCATCGAGTTCTTTTCTAATTCCACATATTGTTGTTGGACCTGAAAGAATCAAACAGTCAGTGAATGTTTACATTTCCAGGTAATAAACTGAAAATAAATGTGTTAGCCTTACACTTTTAACAGTGATGTCATTGAAGCAGTACCAGTTTCCAGTTTCAAAGGATTTGATATCAGCCGTGTAGTGGCCTCCTGTTAGAGAACCGTAGTGATGAACTACAGCGTAGAGCTCATACCTGCAGCTCTGAAGASGTAAACATCAGTTAGATTCATTAAAAGGTTCTTTAAAAGCAGTTTGTGTGGGCTGATTACTACCTGCAGCTGCAGGGTTGGGACAGCGTCGGCTCTGCGGTGCAGCTTGATGTAGCAGCTCCGTCTGWAATCGAAGGTGAACCTCTTCAGCAGGAGAGTCAGGACGTCTGGGCTTTGCGTCAGCTCGTATTTCTGCATCACACAGTAATAAAAACATGTTGGAAAGGAAGACACCATTTCCTTTAGATACTCAACTAAAAACTTACAATATCTGTGTCCTGCTTTTTGTTGCAGCCRTCACAGAACATCTGGTTCTCCTCGCTGACTCTTTGGACCTTAAAGAAATCCTCCAACCCTTGCTGCTGTGAAAAAAAAAGAGGGTCGATCCATTTACCAAATGATTTTGATTCCTTAAATGTAAACTACTGTATAAACAGTAAATCTTATTTTGGTTAAAGAAGATTTAGTACCACGCTGTAGCTTTTACTGCTCGAATCGTCCACTGAAAGAGGAAGAACCCAGAAGAAGCTTCTGGAATTGGTTGTCTTCTTGCACTTCTGGCACCTGGTTTTATGGTTCAGCTCTCCTTTGAAGATCTAAACCAAGGAGGACAATTTGCTGAGGCAAGCATTTACATTTCAGAAATACAGATGTCTTATCCCTCAGTATCTACAGTATTTTTACTTCAGAACACTACATAAATTAGATGTGTTTGGCAAAGTCAATTTTACAGCTACAACCCCCAACATATGCTAGATGCTAACGGACTGCTAACTTCTTTCTTAAACTCAAGACAGCTGCCACAGCTAGCCTGGTAAATGGCTATAAATCAGTCAAATGTAGCTCTTGAGCTAAACGTTGGTGTGGTAATACCTACAGCAAACACATGGTAACTCTTGAATGCTAACAAATTGTTAATTTCAAAGTTTAACATTCAATATGGCCACCACAATCATTTTACAGAGTTACAGTAATCCCCAGAGGATGCTACGCGCGCTAACAGGTCGCTAACTCCTTTTAGCATACATCCAACAAGGCTGTCACAGCTACTTTAGCAAAAGGGCTACATCTGTCAGTTTTACAGATGTTAACGTATAAATTGGGGTGGTAGTAGCTGACAGTGATCTCTCACTACTAACAGCTCAACACACCAAGTGTCAGGAACCATCAAACCACCTGCAGGAAGWTCTCTGGTCTTCTTCTTCACTACAAAAAGTTATTAAAGGTTAGTTTGCTTAAAAAAATATTAAGCTGATTCTAATTTATTTGTGTTTTACTTCCAAGCAGCCAGACTTTCTTGTAATCTTAAAGTGGCCTGAAGTTTCTGAAGGTATTTCAAAGTTTTTATTTTGCTGCTTTTCGCACATTTTTAGTTCTATCCTTGTACCTGACCAGCACTCTGTGCAGTGTCTTATTTAATGAGAGAAGTGAACAAGAGGAGGAAGAAAAAATATTAAGCAAGTCAAAAACAAAATCTATAATAATGAATAGTATTTAGATGAATGAGGGGAGTTTACCTTKGAGGCCTCTGGACTGATCTGACAGAGAGTCTTCTCAAAGTACTCCGCAGCATCACGCTGCTCATACACTGAAAACAGAGGTGAGTGAAACACTAATCCAACTGATTGACTCAGAAGGCATCCATTAAATCTGAACCTCACCATCCTCGATGCCCAGCTCTTCTGCRATGCCGTGTGTTCTGGCTGCCCCTCTCTCTAATTCACAAAACAGCCTTTCCAGGTGTCGGTCGAGAGGTGTTAAATGTTTACTGCAACATCTGTGACACATAAAGCAACCAGTAAAGTAAAAACAGATTGTTAGTCTAGATTTAAAACACGTGACCTGTTCTGATCTCTGTTTGAAGCTACATATAAGTACAATCTTGTCCATGTTGTGAACAGACACCAGGCGTCAGCTCAAACCCTTTTAAAATGTACAGTATAACATTYTGTGATTGTTTTGTGCAGTAATGGCTCCTCGTCACCAGAGGGCGCTGCTGTGACGACTTAGAGAGGAAGAGACCACCCTGTTACATGTGAACCAATGAGGTATATTTACCTCWTTGGTTTAAATATACCTCWTTGATGTGAACGACCTCTGGAAACGTTTGCTTTTCTTAACCCTCCTGTTTTGTTGATTTCTGAGGAACAGCAATATTGTTCCTGTGTCAGTTTGTCCTGGGGAATGTTTAATCATGCAATAATGTCAAACTAAAAAAGATCACCCAAAACATTGTTGTCTGATTATTGACTCCATTACTGACCATTTCAATCAGTATTTACATGTTGTTGTTTTTTTATATTTCTCACAGATAAAGGATCTATAAGGACAATTCACAAATTTTTCATAAAAAATGCCATTACATTTTTTATATCCACTAAAGGAACCTACATACACAAAAACAATGGTTATACG